TTTAATTGAATTTTTTAAATTTAATAACCACATGATTAGAAGAATCATTTCATTACAGCTTTAACATATTCAGTAACAATTTCCAGAGCAACGATACATCTCTTTCAAAAGTGGCTGTAAATTTTTAGGTTCCCAGTCGAATTAATGCAGTTATATAATATTGAACTCAGTATAAACCCTGTAGGAACTAAAATTGAATGAGACAATAGTCTTTAAAAGACTGGTACAAAACCAATATTCCATTTCTTCTCTTGGCCTAAAATACTAAGAGCTAAGGAAGTAAATAATTAGTTGTCTCTACAAAGTCTGCTATGAGTTTGGCTGGAATAGGGAAGTAAACAGGAGGATACAGCTAGCAAAATAATTGACAAAGCCCAAGTCTGTGCTTAGAAGTTAGGAATCTTTGGTTATTAAAAGATATAATCTCTTTCCATCTACTTACTTTTTCTCAAGACTGGTTTAATAGCTGGATATGGTAGCACAGGCCTTTAATCCCAGGACTTGGAAGGTTCAGGCAGGAGGAATGGAAGTTTGAGGCCAGTCTGGCCTATAAAGTGAGACCCTGACCCCAAACAAAGCAACAACAAAAAGCCTGGGAATGAATTAGATTCATTGTTTCGGCATTTTCTAGATTTAGAACAAAGATACATAAGGAAGTTAGTAGAACTTTTTTCCCCAATCTAACTGTAGTCATGAAAACCCCAGAAATGGGGTTGCAGACTTGAACAGAAGTCTACAGTCTTGGAGTTCCGGAGCTAGTCATTAAAGATCAAGTGTCACTAGGAGGGTTGGTTGGCAGGAAGTGAGGGGAGGTCTGCTCTGGGTTTCTATCTTTGACTTGTAGATGCTCTTTTCCCTGTGTCTACACATCATCTCCCCATTGTAAATGCCACTCTGTCCAAATCTATTCTTTTATAAAGACATTAGCTGTATTGGATTGGAGCCCATCCTTCTGATCTCAGTTTAACTTTATTACCTCTGTAAAGAGCCTATTTCTAAATAAGGTTACATTCGGAGGTACTTGAGATTAGGACCTCAGCATATGAATTTAGAGGGAGGTGATGCCATCCATCCATAACACTAATCTTGTGTGTGATCTAGTGGGGAGTTGAGCCCAGGAGACCACAAATGACCCTGTTGGTTGTTTTGGCTTCTTATTTGGGAAAAGAGCAGTGGTGAGGACCAGGATGATACCACTTCCAAAAGTGGGCAGACCCAAGCCGTCTTAATGTCACCAAAAAACAAAATTACAATGTAGTTCTGCAATAGGGCACCACTTCATGCCACACAATAAAGTAATTCCAATGGCCTGAAAGGAAGTTGGTTTTGTAGACAGGGAAAGACTGAAGAAAGCTGAACTGAAAACACAAAGGCAGGTGGGTCCTTTCAAAGCTTTCCTTGTAAGGCCAACAATACAACAATAATTGGTTGGTTAACGTCAGGATCCATTTTGTATAAGGGTTACCCAGCGGGAATTCTTTGTCACGCCAGTTGAAACTATAACTTGCTTGGGAAACTTGGCGGTTAGCTCTTTAATCCTGATTTCTTAAATAATCAGATGAACAGCTCAAAGCCTGAGTGACACTACTTGGGTTTTCAGTGTGGTCTGCTTGAAACTAGTGCAGGAAGTTAGTTCATAGAAAGGGCTTTTTAAGTTTTATTTAACAATATACAATCTAAGTTCCTTTCTTTCTTTCTTTCTTTCTTTCTTTCTTTCTTTCTTTCTTTCTTTCTTTCTTTCTTTCTTTCTTTCTTTCTTTCTTTCTTTCTTTCTTTCTTTCTTTCTTTCTTTCTTTCTTTCTTTCTTTTTTCTGGCCTGGAACTCACTATGCAGTCACCAAAGATGACGTTGAACTTTTGATCCTCCTGCCTCTGCCCAACCCCTTAGATGTTTGGGTTACAGACTTGTTCCACCATACCCATGTATATGAGAAAATTAATTCTACTAACTTTACTGAATTTTTCTGTGATTATAGGAAATCATATATAAAATCACATTTAAAATCGTTGTCATGTATAAAATCACAGCACTCATAAGTAGTTTATGAAACGACTTTGTTTAACTTATATACCTTTTTTTCTTCTTGAGACTGCCTCTCCATATACAGCCCAGGCTGGCTCATGTATTGCTCCTGCCTTAACTTCCTGATGGGATTTCAGGCCACACCACTGCACTCAAGTCTTCTGTATATCCTGGGTTTCTTTGGATTTTTACCACATTCCTTCTTGCATTTTGGCAAACCATATGTACGTGACAAATATAGCAAATTACACACATATTTCTACTGCCCTCTAGACTAAGATTATAGGAGTTATTTATTCTGTTCTATTTCAACTTCTTGGAATTCCTCCTTAGCTCCTTGTAGAGCAATACAGCAAAGGTCACTATAAAGCAGTGTCAATTCTGGTGTTTGTGTGTGAATGAGCAAAGCTACCACAAGATGGCAGCGTGTTAAAAGCATAAGAAATTATTCACTAGAAGGCTTTTAGAAAATTGTTTCAGAAATCTGTATGAACCAAGCAAGTCTGCTTTTGAATCCTCAACTCAATTCTTGTTTTTTTGTTTGTTTGTTTGTTCCTTCTTCTTCATAAAACCAGGTCTTATGTAGCTCAGGCTGGCCTCAAATTTGTTGTGTAGAGGAGGCTGGTCTTGAACTCCTGGACTTGTTTCCTCTACCTCCTGAGTACTGGGGGCTTGTGTCACCATGCTCAGCTTCAAGTCAACTATCACAGATGCAGGAGATAAAGTTAAGTGACTAGATTTCAGACCCTAAAACAGTAATATATAAGAGATAAGGATCCTGGGAATTCTCAAATTCTTAAGTTAGAATTAAAAATCAAAGGGGGGGCTGGAGAGATGGCTCAGCGGTTAAGAGCACTGACTGCTCTTGCAGAGGACCTGGGTTTGATTCCTGGCACCCATATGGCGGCTACGAACCATTCTTAACTCCAGTTCCAGGGGAATCCGAAGCCCCCTTCTGACCCTCCGCGGCATTGCATGACACGGGTGCACTCACATGCAGGCAATACACTCATACACATAAAATAAAAATAATAAAATATTTTTTAAAAATCAAAGGGATTCAGCCTTCAGGCTGGATGATTTTGGTAATCAGTAAGGTCATATTTGATGAATTATAAAAACTTGACATGACAAGTTATGGACAGTGCCTAACAGTAACAGAGAACAGTTATGGAAGATGCTTTAGTAGCTCTGCTGATTACATGAAAAGCTTCCCAGGCATATTTATATATGTTCTACGTATATTTGGATGACAATAAAATATTACAATAATTACTCCACATAAGCTCTTTGCCTTTTTATGCTGGATGTACTTGTTTCAATAGAGAGAGAGAGAGAGAGAGAGAGAGAGAGAGAGAGAGAGAGAGCAAGCCTTTTTGGGAGAACTGTTGTGAGAAAAATCTGAAGGAACAAGTGCTCAGAACAGATTGGGCTCACTTCTGGTTTTAACTGATGCCAAGGGGTCAAGCTGTCTTTGTTCAAGCACTGCCGTAATGCGGCATCTCTCTGCTGCACCTAAGTGCTGGGATTACAGGTGTATGCCATTAATGTGCATTCTTGAAGAGAACAGAGCTTTGCCCTACTCTTGGTAAGCTTAACTCAGGGAGCTAGCTTGCTGGATGATCATAGTCACATAGCAAGTCTGAGACCAGCCTGGGATTCATGAGACCCTATCTGGGGGAAAAAAAAAAAAACAAGCAAACCAAAAAAAATTTTTTTTTAAATCAAAGATGATAAGGCAAAGATGTCTCAATGAGTAAAAGTACTCTCTGATAAGCCTGATGTTTTAAGATTTTTTTCTGTAGTATAATTTCTCAAAAGGAGGCCTGTGAGATGGCCCAGAAGGCAAAGCCTCTCTTGCTGCCAAACTGGCAACCTAAAGTTCAATCCCTGGAGCTCACGTGGTGGGAGGAGAGAACGAACTCTAGAAATTTGTACTTTGATCTCCA